CAAGCCCAATCAACGTCCACGATAGTTGAAAGGACCAATGGCGTGGCACATAATTTGACCAATTACAGTAGCGAAGACAGTAACATTCAAGAAAAGGGGGTTGCACTTAACCATTAGAAATGACCAAAAATGCCTAAACAGTCAAAAACATATGATAAATTTTGATTAGATACAGTTTTAGGAACTATATTTAAATTACAAACATTATTTATTTGTTAGAACACATTTGATATCAGTTTATATCCATATTGTAGACCCTCTGATTGTTTGGGCTAGCCCAGCCATTAGCTGTCCAATCATGATAGTAGAATTTTTTAGTCCGCGACCTTGCTGCAAAAGTCGGATTCTGATGTTCACCCTTCGGTCCAATCAGGTAAAAGTACTTTATCCAATAGGGGATAAGATAAAAGGACCAATGACGTTGTTGTAAATTTCAAAACTGACCAATTGTGGCTAAGCCCGCGTATGTATAAATTCCAACAGTTACACTTAAGTTCATTCATCGACTTCATCACAGGAAGAAGGTAAAGATGGCACGTACCATCCCCACATCAGACAAATCGATAGTGAGACTCTTTGACCTGGTTGACCTCTACAACAGGGGCTCTGGTTCTAGGTTAAACTTAGATAAGTGTGAGGGACTATGGCTGGGAAAATGGAGACATAGACCCGACAGTCCGGTTAACATACAATGGACATCGGGGTCTATCCGTCTACTCGGTGGAACCTTCGGGAACATCGACATGCCTGTCACAAATTGGAAAGAGGGAAAACGAAAATTCGTTGAAACTCTGCAGGTGTGGGGAACCAGATCCCTTTCCTTCACCGGCAGAGTTACGGTGGCCAATGCACTGGCCGCCGCCAAACTATGGTATATAGCGTCGGTGTTCATCCCTCCTGATTCTGTCATTAAAGAGATCGAAACCGCCTTGTTTCATTTCTTCTGGGATAAACGGCGGGAGATGGTAAGCCGGAACACAATCTACCTCCCCCCTGAGAAGGGCGGCTGGGGTCTGACAAACATAGCAAAAAAGGCGAAATGCCTGTACAGTCGCCCCTTCTCGGACATCTTGTCGCAGAGTAAAATGCCCTGGGTACAGTTGGCCAGGTACTGGCTTGGCTTCTTCTTAAGACGGTTTGACCCATCCACCTGGTCGAACAACATGCCCCATTCCCCGAACGCCCCTCCTCAATACAAGGCCCTCCAAACCTGTGTTTTGGAACTCGTAGAAGCATCTCCCTCTAAACAGTGGGACACTGGCTGTACTACGCGTTCCCTGTACAACGACCTTCTGATGAAGGATGCTCACGTGCCAACTGTCTGTCTAAACAAGCGCTCCGTTCCTTGGTCTTTAACCTTCCAATCAGTCCAACACCCCTCCTGGAAAACAGACTTAAAGACACGGCGTGGCTGGTTGCCCACCATGCCCTTAAGACGAATGCTCTGCTGTACTCTAAGTGGAGGTTTATCCACTCGGGCACATGTCCGAGGAACAATTGCAATGGATTCGAAACAATGGACCACGTGATGTGGTCCTGTAACGAAGTGTTACTCACATGGACATGGGTGGAGGGCTTCATCAGGAGATGGATATTGTCAGACTTCCGGATCAATAAACATATGGTCATCTTCGGTATTGTGCCAACCTCCTGGCCAAAGTGTAAGAGAGATGTCATAATCTACGTCATCGCTATCGCGAGGAAACGGATTTGGTCCTCGAGATGTGAGGCACTCTTTGACAAAACGTTTATAACCCACGTTGAGATAGTGCCGTACATCAAGGAGTGCCTCCGCTCAAGACTGAAGCTAGACTTTGTACGCCTCGGTGAGGCAGCTTTCCGAGCACAGTGGTGCTCTTCAGTACGTTGGGCGAAGGTCGTAGGGGGAAAACTACGCCTGCGGTTTTAATCCCCCGTTCCCTTCTAGTCGTATCAGTTTTTTGTTGTGAAATGTCTGTCTTTTATTTCATTATTTTATTTTGATGTGTCAAGTTGGCAGGAGTGGGTTGGTGGGAGCACTTGGACAGTAACCTGTCGTGGGTAGCTTGGCACATCCTTTTTCTATTCCCCTTCCTTTGTCTATGTCTCTGTCACGTCGAAAAGTTGAAAAAAAAAGAAAATAGTTAAAAAACCTCCTGTCTCTCTTGTCTAGTTTTCACCCTTTTTTTTGATTTTGTTATACCCCAATTAAAAACGGGCACGTACCAAGCAGACCGCCCGTAAGTCCACTGGAGGCAAGGCCCCCAGGAAGCAGCTGGCCACCAAGGCCGCTCGCAAGAGCGCCCCGGCCACCGGAGGTGTCAAGAAGCCTCACCGTTACAGGCCCGGCACCGTGGCTCTCAGGGAGATCCGTCGTTACCAGAAGTCCACTGAGCTGCTCATCCGCAAGCTGCCCTTCCAGCGCCTGGTCAGGGAAATCGCCCAGGACTTCAAGACCGACCTTCGCTTCCAGAGCTCTGCTGTCATGGCTCTGCAGGAGGCTAGCGAGGCCTACCTGGTCGGTCTCTTCGAGGACACCAACCTGTGCGCCATCCACGCCAAGCGTGTCACCATCATGCCCAAGGACATCCAGCTGGCCCGCCGTATCCGTGGCGAGCGTGCTTAGATCGTAAGCCGAGACGTGAAACCCGGCCCTTTTCAGGGCCACCCACTCCTTCCAGAAAGAGCTGTTTATATATCACAACAGTATGTATCATATTATTAATACATGTCTCGCACAAAACTACTATAGATACACTTGCCCTATGATTATCCACGTGACAAGTAAGATTAAAGCACATCTGCAGTGAAACATCACTAGCTAAACACAGGACTATTGAATTAGGATACCCAAAAGCATAAATTTTGTCAGACGTATCAAAGTACATGTATCTACTTAGAGGCTGTTGCGTTAAACGCTGGTGGTTTTAATGTATTGAATTCAATCATTGCCATGGCAATGATAGCCCCGGCCCCGCAGACTATGCTAACAGACATTTCTAAACCTCAATATTTATTTTACTTTGACCCCTTCTGTGGACCAATGTAGTTTCACGCTTCTAGAGGGAGACACCCACGTAACCAATATGGGGATGGAAACAAAGGTATCAGCAAAGATATGGTTACCGTTTGGGCGCAATCGTGTTCAATTTTACGCGCCTTATCACTCAGTGTGGCTTTGTCTAGTTAACGCCACAGTAGTAGAACAACACTGCGGTGCACTCAAGGCGTCCCGCAAACATTTACTTCTAGTACTTGACCATTGATGCACAACCAACCAAATATAAGAGGGAGGGAACTTTGCTCCTCCATCTAATGTATTCTATGTGTGTATATTTCACGATTCCTTCTGACACCTGTTCCTGTAGCAGGTACTTGACAGATTGGGCAGTCATCCATGTACAATTCATGTGACTTTAGAGCCCTGAGGGGTACCGTCCCAAGGCTGGGTGCCATTGTAACGGCAGCCCCGAAATTCGGTACGATATATGTGCTAGCAAACCCCGAAATTCGAGGTTGCCGTTACAAATCGGATGGCACCCAGGCTAACTATACCCTGTCTGCCAGAATATATTATTAGTCTGGCACCGGTCAGCACCACAGTCAGCAAAATTTTGCGCAAATAGGTTGGTATGTAGAAATGTGGCGCTGTAAGCAGGCCCCGTTGGTTGCATACCGCTGTTGGCCATTGGAGGAGCAAGTTCTGTTCTCTTATGTTACTTGTAGCCATTTCTATATCTCAAATGGTTTTACTTTATATATACTTTAGCAAGCAAAAACCCAAATGTATTTAGAAACCTTCCTAAGAACGAACTGCGGACATACTTCGGAAAACGATACAGCACTCAAGAAATATGTTGGTGGCCCTGAAAAGGGCCGGTGTGGTAGGTCTTGCAGTTGTTGATTTACTTGGAGCTGGTGTACTTGGTGACGGCCTTGGTGCCCTCGCTGACGGCGTGCTTGGCCAGCTCGCCAGGCAGCAGCAGACGCACGGCGGTCTGGATCTCCCGGCTGCTGATGGTGGAGCGCTTGTTGTAGTGAGCCAGGCGGGAAGCCTCGCCAGCGATACGCTCGAAGATGTCGTTGACGAAGGAGTTCATGATGCCCATGGCCTTGCTGGAGACACCGGTGTCGGGGTGCACCTGCTTGAGCACCTTGTAGATGTAGATACCGAAGGACTCCCTCCTTCTCCTCCTCCTCTTGGCTCCACCTGCACGGCGGGCCTTACCTGCCTTCTTGGCGGCCTTTCCTGGGGTCTTTGGCGGCATGATGCGATAACGTTTCGACGAAGGATTCAATCGAAAAGTAGCAACTCTATTCGCTTACCTGGTATTTATTGCCTCCAATATGTAAATGTGTGGATAACGGTACACAAAAGAACTCCCTGTTGATGATTGGATGATAGTTTTCAATCGATTTCTTGTTGGTTGGTCAGTTTTGACACCTGTGTCTGTCATTGGTCTGTTCCCTGTGTTCTTTTGTCCGCGCGGCTATTATAAAAAGGCAGCGGGGACGCAAGAGAGTATCTTTTTGCAACCAACAAACAGGTAAGCAAAGCGATATCAACATGTCTGGACGTGGTAAGGGAAAGAAGGCAAAGGGGAAGAGCCGATCCTCCCGTGCAGGGCTTCAGTTCCCTGTCGGCCGTGTGCACCGTTTCCTGCGCAAGGGCAACTATGCCAACCGCGTCGGTGCCGGCGCCCCAGTCTACCTGGCCGCCGTGCTGGAGTACCTGACCGCTGAGATCCTCGAGTTGGCCGGCAACGCTGCCCGCGACAACAAGAAGACCAGGATCATCCCCCGTCACCTTCAGCTGGCCGTCCGTAACGACGAGGAGCTGAACAGGCTGCTGGGTGGTGTGACCATCGCCCAGGGAGGTGTGCTGCCCAACATCCACGCCGTGCTCCTGCCCAAGAAGAAGTCTTCTTAAACAACCAGAAGAACAAATACACCGGCCCTTTTCAGGGCCACCAAAATCTTAGAAAGAGCTCTATGTAATCACAACTTAGACGTTTGAAGTGTTTAGCTAATGATCTATCTACAGCCACATGAGTGGGAAGGTAGCGAAGCTTTAAGGTGTTCTTGTCTGCACGCTCTTGAGAGGTAGACATCGTCGTTCTGATATTCTAATTTAAATAAATAAGGCACTGTGCAAACAGAAAGATAAAATCTTTTGAGAGATATAGCTCATTTGATTACGCGTGGAACTATTTTTTCTGAATCCTTCTGGTGAGTGAAAATCAATTATCCATACTGGAAACGTTAGCAACCTGTTCACCCTCTCCTCCCCCGCCTGCTTTCTACTTTTGTTCGTCGGTTGTAAAGGATACCTTGGTGCCGAAAAGACGTTGAAATCCAAATGGGAATCAAATAAGGTAAGACAAAGGGATTTTTAGGCGCCAAATATCACGTTTCTTCGGAATTCTATTCATCAACACAAATGAATGGAATTACTCTCCACATATAAATTTACACCATTCGTCGATTTTCGTCGATCTATGCCAAACATGTGAAATTGTTGTGAAGGATCTGGCCAGGTTACGTCGCTAATAACATCGTTAAGGTTGCTGGGGTCAAACAAAGTGAACCCCAGGTGTACATATACGGTGAATAGCTGTTCTCAGTGGTAATAAACACACAGCAGCAACAAATGGTTCTTGATACACGCATTGGGCATTCCCAGGTTTGAGGCTTTTAAGACATCAGACATGTAAACCATGATTTGAAATACCGGGCAACTACCACAGCGACAACGTTATTCTCAAGGTATGTCTGAGGTACATGCCGATTGTGACTACAGGTAGCGGTAACCTGTCCTTGGATAGGTCGCGCTACCAAGTGGAACAAAAAGTGAACAAACAACAGTTCCTCAATGGACTGCCAGCAATCGAAGATCCCGCCAAGGAGCTAAACAAACGAAACACGCGGCGTCCATTGGTTGCCAGGACGCCGTGTCGGTATGGATCAGTAACAGCAATTGTTGTTGAGTTGTATTAAGTGTTGATACAGAAGCATTCATTGGTCAGTTTTGGCGCACAGGTCAGTTTTGGCGCTCAGGTCACGCACCCACTCGAGTAAAAAACAACCTGAACATGGCGACGACTGGCTTGCCCTGCAAAATTATTGGCTTCCTTTAACTGATATTAGCCGTTGCTTCGACTAGCTTACACAGCATTTGTTAGACACGATTTCAAAGTCAGATCAAAACTTGTCTGTCTGTCATGAAAAGAGTTCCTTCCCTCTTTCCATTTTTATTTCTCTAAACTAACTGTCGTGAAAGGTGAAATACTCGTCTATACGGCCCGCGGACGTTATATCATGTAGTGTCAGAGGTACCGAAACACGGAAGGGACCGATAGAAAAGGTAGAGGCAGGAACTGAAAAGTAATGTGCGTACGACTGTACATAGTTTCTGTTATACAGAAAGCGCCAGGTGTGTATGTACCGATATCTGTACAATCCGACAAACCAACTACAATGATAAAAAATGCTCCCAATCGTTATGTTTAACCAATGAAGGAAAGCCTTTTGTATCACATCCACATGTTTGGAACACAAAATTGTAACACAAAATTGCTTACCGAGAAGACATATATTGACCTAACAGCAAGTGATATGATAAGCTCTTTTTGAATATTTGGGTGGCCCTGAAAAGGGCCGGTGGTTTCTGCCGTCAGGAGAAGACCTACTTCTTCTTGGGAGCTGCCTTCTTCTTTGGCTTCTTGGCCTTCTTGGCTGCTGGCTTCTTGGCTGCCTTCTTGGCTGCTGGCTTCTTGGCCTTCTTTGCCTTTGGCTTCTTTGCCTTTGGCTTCTTGGCCTTCTTTGCCTTTGGCTTCTTGGCCTTCTTGGGCTTCTTGGCCTTCTTTGCCTTGGGCTTCTTTGCCTTGGGCTTCTTGGGGGCCTTCTTGGCGGCAGCGCCGAGCCTGAAGGAGCCGGCGGCGCCCTTGCCCTTAGCCTGGGTGAGCAGACCCTTGGCCAGCATGTTCTTGATGACACGCCTGATGACATGGCCCTGCTTGACGACGTCGAACTTGTAGTTGGCGGCGATGTACTTCTTGATGGCCTGCAGGGAGGATCCCTTGCGGTCCTTCAAGGCGGCGATGGCGGCGATGACCATCTTGGCGACCGGCGGGTGGGCCGCTGGCTTCTTAGGCTTCTTAGCCTTGGTTGCCTTCTTGGCAGGTGCTGCTGCTGGTGCGGACATGATTACTTTTACAGTCGTACTGAAGAGTAAGAATGAAGTTTCGCGCGCAGCGTGCCCTGCATATATTGTGTCCGTGCGGACGCAATAGAAAGCAGTCACCTATTCAAGGAAGAAATGGCCAAGAACCTTAAGAAGTGTGTTTGTTACCCTTAAGAAACGCAGTTTGTTCTGAAAGACGGCATAAGTCTGAGAGGTCGAACTTTTCCTGACAGCTACCAAAAGATTCCTATTTTCGATTATTTGTCGACATTTTATCAAAGATTGCGGCTAAAGTGTACTTTTATCTCATATTTTTGCAATTACCTTAACGAAAAAAGTGTTGATGGTGAAAACGACCTTGACTGTCAGGCCCCAATGCCCGGAATACGCCAGTTTTTCCCATTATCTGCAAGCCACATTCGTTGTCTTCGACCCCCTGATACTTTTGTGTAATTCAGGTTTGACTAAGTTCCGAAAATGTGCACAAACGCAGGTAGTACTCGCACACCCCAGAACACCTTTCCGACGAAATGGCGGGCAGGTAGATCGTTTTTCAATGTAACAAAAGGACTCATAAAGCGTCTGTAAACACGACGCGTCTGATGGACTATGGTAACCGCTACTCGTCTATAAGTAGCAGTCAGCCAACGTCATATATATCTTGATACTTTCCTAAACTCATAGATAGTACTTATTAGTAACGATGTTGCGGAGTTAAGAGAAACTACAGGCCTGATACTACCGGCTCCAGAGTCGTTATTTTGGTCTCCCGTGCCACTTGCTGTGCTTGAATACCGGTATCCAAGGGAAACAAAGGGCTAGTTCTGCACCTGTGACATAGTTGAAAGTCTATGGCGGTGACGCTATGCTATGCTACAAAATGTACCTGTGACCTAATCCTTACCAACTATAAAGGTGCAAGTCATTTGAGGCTGATTCTATCGCCATTGCATGGTCTTCTCAGCTTAGAGACGTGCGCACCCGTACGTCTATATAGCTATTGAGATAGCGTGTTTTTTTATATAATATTGGAGAGTAAATGTATCAAATAATTAGCTTTCTTGCTGCGACATCTCGTGTTCACAGGCATGTGTTTAATAACCTTAAGCTTGTCAGGGCAACATAATGACATTTCCGAAGATCGTGGAATGCCAGAAACAAAATACATGACCTTTAGTGCACTCGGTCATTCCACCCTCACATTGACCAGACTGAAATGCATATCTGTCCCGGCTTTGGTTAGGATTAATTCCCAATGATGCACACACCCCATCCAATGTCCTCATTGATAGTCTTAGATGTTAATGTTAAAGTTGGCATGATCGTTTCTCTGTTAGCTGCCCGAAGTCGATGTAACGCATGACAAGCTACCACCGGTAAGGACGTCATGTTTTACCCCAGTTTGCTCGGATGAAAAAAAAAATCCAGCATCTACTTTCTACTGGTAACCAGCATAAACGTACGATAATCTCCAAGCAGACGTTAGGAGAGAACCGTGTGACGATTCCTCATTGACCCCTTTCGTGTGGCAGTTCGTTGTCACGAAGCGGCATAGTGAGCAAAGCGCCACGCTTCTCCCAACATCTGCTTGGAGATTGCAGAAACGCACCTTGCGACATTAACGCTCAGTGCAGGGAAAGACTGGTGGCTGGGGCACCGTACCAAGACAGAAAAGAACGGTCAGTTATTCCTCAATAGGGTCATGCACAGGAAGTGAAGTTAGCAACTGGCTGTGTATGGAAAGCGGCAAGAAACAAAGAGGGCTTTCATAGCAGGCTATACGACTCGGGCTTTTCAGGGACTTTTATGATGTATATTAGCATATTACCTCTACGTACACTCTGGCTTTTTTTACCGACCCAGCGTAGACTTACGTGTAAGTATAAGGGTTTTTACGAAAGTAAGAACAGGTCAAAGTTATCAATTCCATGTTGCAAAAATCTCTGCAAAGTGCAAACTTAGTGTGTAGTCAAAATTGCCTTGTGTGCATTGGAAATCTTCAGCCTGAAAGTGCACTGAGCTGCAGAACCCAGGTATACTGATATGACTTGCAAGTTGCAATTGAAACATACCTTTTGAATGCACCTGTGACATTTGAATGCTGATGTACATTTTGCAACATCTGAGAACAGCTGAGCACTGTCATTTGGGGCTTTCTTTTTCCATATCTTCCAATAGTAAACATTACTTCCCTACATGTTCAGTTATACATGTATGATGTATTGGATGTTGTTATATGTTAGGTTCCTTGATTGTGACATGAGTGTGCGTTCAGTTTGTCACAAAGTAAAGGTGAGCTAGACCTTTGAACAAGTTATCATGTTTTATGTAATAAAAGATTAAAAAACAATAATGTAAGTTGTATCGCAAACACTAGGTTTAATAGTGACTTACACAGACAAAACGTATCCACAGAAAAGAGGGTTCATTTTACTCTAACAGGAAGTGCTTGAAATGAACAATGTTGTACAGACCAGTTCCTTCAGACATCGATAATTTGATTGAAAGTAAACAGGTCCATAACAAACACCAGGTAACAAGGGTTTACTGAATTGCTATCTTGGAGAATCACAGTATTTTCATCGAAATGTCTTCTGTTAAGTAAGCTTATATCATCAAGTCATCTACTTTGAAGTCTGGAACTGATGTTGATATAAATCTTGAGATGCATGTTCTCCACACATGTACTACTGGTACCAACTCCAACAACAGCAATCTGTAAAACAAAAAAGTGTTATATAAAATAGGACAGAAACATGGTCTGGAAACAAAATCTGTGAGGTCAATGAAGGTTAGACATCCAGGTAATACGATATGCCAAAAGACAGTCACTGACGAAAGCTGGTGGATACTAGCTGAAACGTCTGACCGTTTCCAAAATCATATCCAGTTGCTTGAGTAACTGCTTTTTGGCGAAAATCTGTGAGCTATTGCATGAATCTTAATATCCATAAACAATAAGCAGTGAGATGTAATACATGTACTTCAAGCCATATGGGGCATGGGGCTAGAAATAAGCTTTCCTAAGGCTTTCAAGCCCCTTCGAGCTTCCTTCAATGCCAAATTTAGATGGTACTCTTAAATGTAGGTGATGCCTGGGGTGGGCAGACTGTTTGGCAGATAGGGTGCAAAACTGATGATGTTTCATGTACTTTGCACTTATTTTTCAATAATGGTCAGTGCTAAATTTGAAGCAGATATCTCAGGATATGAAATGGGACACACATATAAATTATGTCACTGGTAGAGCTAATAGGATACTGGCAGTCATCCGCCGTAACCTTTCGCACTGTCCTCTTCGTGTCAAATCTACATGCTACAGAACACTTGTACGCCCACACCTGGAGTACTGTGCGACTGTATGGGATCCCCACACCATCGGTGGTTCCCAGGCGTTGGAGCGAGTCCAACGAAGGGCGGCGCGAATGGCTGTTAGTGATTATGACTATACCAGCAGTGTTTCTGACATGCTAAAGCGCCTCCAGTGGCCGTTACTTGTTGACAGAAGGAGAACCGCTCGCTTGATATCTTTATATAAAATTACTCATGGACATATTAATATTCAAATGGAACAATACCTCAAACCTGCCCATAGGCGTACCAGAGGAAGTCATGAATATAAGTATCAAGCAATACCTGCCAAAACAGACTGTTTTAGATTTTCTTTTTTTCCAAGAACGATAAATGAGTGGAACAAGTTACCGGGCCAGCTTGTAAAAGCCCAGACAGTGGAGGCCTTCAAGGCCGGGCTTCTGGCCGCGCAGCCATAGTCCGTCGCACCCCCCCCTCTCAGTGATACCCCAGTAGGGGTGGTTAGAGAGTACTCAAGAAGAAGAAGAAGAAGATGAAAATTGGATATTTGAAAGATGTTCATCATGGACCAGTTCCCACCTGTGGTGCTATTCATACACATCCTGCCTGTCTGCAATGTAGTCACAAATATCCTGTGGTTTCATCAGCTTCTCTGCATCAGAATCTGGGATCTCAAATCCTGGAAACAGAAAACACAAGAGTATTTCTCAATTGCAATGATGTGCTATGTGCTATTCAAACTATAATAGACTCACTACATATGAATGCATTGTATACAAAAGAAGTTGTATACGTTTTCTAAAGGATTAATTACAAGGCAATTAACAAAGAGACATTGTAAATTCTGTCAAAGAACACAGAGGTAATGGTGATGATGATGATAATCATTCACAGAAGCCTACATGAATACAAACAAAATTGTTTCAATGATGATACAGCTATAGGAAGACAAAATTACACATTTATAATTACACGTTTGCTGAAAACAATACATGGAAAAGTTTGAACTTCTAATAATGGCATCTATTGTGTCTTGATCATCACTGACATTTGTGAGGTCAAACTGGATCATGTGTCACATATAACGTCCCTGAGCCATCACTATCTTTTCCCTTGGCCATCAACCCCAGTGTGCAATAAAAGATACTTACCGAACTCATCCTCCATCGCCATTACAATCTCCACTTGGTCCAGGCTGTCTAACCCCAAGTCATTCATGAAATGGGCCTCCAAGTTCAGCTGCATAGGAATGGTACATATATGGCAAGTTACGTCTCTAGCATTAACAACCACAACTTCTTTTAAGTACATGTATCATCTTCCTCAGACAAATACCTATTCAGTAATCTTCCTGCAATGTGGACTTTGGGGATTTTCTCCAAATGTCTGAAAACCAATAAATGACATGTCCTAATAACAGCTTGCTGTATAATCCCCATACTCCCTAACCCCCTATACTATACTAACCCGTATAGTATGTTTTGACTTTTAATCAATGTTGCCATATATAGTTTGCATATTATAACTTTCCCTTTGGAAAGTGAAGATAGTGACAAAAAAAAGATGTTATGGAAATTTGAATGTGTCTGCATTTGAGCCTTTTACTTTACAGCATGTATGTTTAGGATACAAGGATGAGCGCACCTTCTCAGGGTTGATTTTGTCGTATAGGTTGAGCACAAGCAACACTCTCTCCTTGATCTGCTTGATGGTCAACTCTGGCAGGTCTGCATAACTGCGCACACACTGCAGCAGCATTCTCTTCTGAGTGGACTGGAGGGACAGAAAATCAGAAACAAACCATATTTTAACATGCAAGTAACCTTCATAAGAGACTGTTAGCACCTGTACGAAATTCTACAACACATTACTTGATCCAATATCATCTATGAACGTGTGTATATCAAAACGATTCACCATATTATGCTCTCTTTCAATCGCTTTTCAGCACAGTATAAATGCAATATGATAAATATATTTCTACTGCAATGTAAATTTGTCTGTATAATGTCCTGAGAACGAGTACTGAATAAGAAACTTGGTAATGAAGCTAAACGTTGTAGTTCTAGACCCACTAGTTCGAATTACTTTCAAATTTATTGTACAGTACTAAAAGAGTGGCCATGCAAGGACTGTGTGCAAGATGGCGACACGAGAAGTTCGTGACCTCGTCAAGTGTCATTCTTCTTACCTTTGTAACAGCACTAAAAGAAGAGAAGTTATGCCTTTGATGGGTGTCTAAAGGCAGGAAAAACTTCTTGGAACAAATGCCAGTGGCACATGCTCTTGTAGCCGTTGCATTTAGGACAGAAACTTGGCTTGAAGCTACGCCACAGATCGCACGAATTCCTCGCAACATGGTCGCCATTTTGTCCACTCCCAGGATGCAATGCGCTAGTTTAGGTGATACTAAAGTAAAAGAGGGGTGTACCTCGCTATCGTAGCCGGAGGCTAGTACTAGTAATCTCCAAGCAGATCCCTTTCGGTGGCAAAAAGACAGTATCAAATTGGCCAGGCAGTATCCATTAGCCAGAGAAGGTCGCCGGCCACCGACGGGGATTAGCGACAAAAAAAGGTCATGTATAAAAAGCTAACGATCATTCCCCCACAACCTCTGCTTGGAGAGTACACTATCCTCATCTTCGTATCGTGCTTCGTGAGTCATACCAAGGACATACATATAACTTAGACCAATAACCGTTTGATGTAACGTTTTTTTTTCTAAACAAAGTGTATTTTCTGTAGACTGTGGGTTTATCAGTGTGCAAGGATGTTCAATCTCCTTGGTTTCAGGAATGCATCATCATATGATCATGATGATATTGGTTGTAAAATGCCCCCACCACTACTAAAGTAATCTCCAAGCAGATCATACGGTGGCAAGGTGTATGATCTGCTTGGAGACCCATACTTACTGCCTACTGCCCATCCTTGCAGCACTATTAGATTACATATCTTTTATGCCTTTGCTAAAGCTCGAAGTATTAGATCCATGGTTTCTGCTCCCTTCTTTCGTGCCCCAGGTAGGTGAACGTAAAAAAAATGTTTTAGTAAGGCCATGTTGAGTTGACTATATGGGTGACATCAACGTTGCAACGCGCTCATGGATTCTAGTCCGTTTTCAACCATACTGATACTAGTAGTAATCGCTACAAAAATGAGCAAACTTGAATTGCAAAAAAATAATGGAAAACGATAGTAATGTGACTGTCGTAGAATGCCAAAATCGATTCCAAAGGAAAAGAAGAAATAGGTGATGGAGGATTGAAGAAATGGAAACTTATTTTTTCGCGAAACTTATGCCATTTCGCACGCTCTTATCAGTTTTGGGTTTCCATGGGATGGTGCATCTCCAGGGTAAAGGTGTCATTTTCTAGTCTGTTGATTTTTTTTCCTATAACATTCGTTACTTTATTGATTTGTTGCCAGCCTTTATCGCCAGCCCTATCTCTAGAAATGAGATATGGCTGACCTGCAGGCTACTTTCACGCTTTGTCTGCATCTACTGTAATAAAAGTAAACTGGGGATAGACGTAGTTCTTTCGAAAGATGTGGGTGGCCCTGAAAAGGGCCGGGTTATACTGGTCGGGCGGTCAGGCGGTTTACTTGGAGCTGGTGTACTTGGTGACGGCCTTGGTGCCCTCGCTGACGGCGTGCTTGGCCAGCTCGCCAGGCAGCAGCAGACGCACGGCGGTCTGGATCTCCCGGCTGCTGATGGTGGAGCGCTTGTTGTAGTGAGCCAGGCGAGAAGCCTCACCAGCGATACGCTCGAAGATATCGTTGACGAAGGAGTTCATGATGCCCATTGCCTTGCTGGAGACACCGGTGTCGGGATGCACCTGCTTGAGCACCTTGTAGATGTAGACACCGAAGGACTCCTTTCTCCTTCTCCTCCTCTTGCCCTTGGCTCCAGCGGGCCTGGCCTTTCCGGCCTTCTTGGCGGCTTTTCCTCCTCCTTTCGGCGGCATTGCTTAATCGTTCTACCTCAAGCGAACAAATTAGCGATGTAGGGCAGTGGAGCGGAGCGTATTTATATAGGAGCTCATGCAAATTTTCTGATTGCAGGGTATTGCGGACGTGGTAGGAAACGGGTAAAACAAAATCGTAGACTTGCCCTTTTTTGCCATGATAATTTTGTGAACAAAAGACGGTAAAATATTTACAACACATCTTTGGGTTCATAGTGAAAATATTCCCGACCAATAATCTTTTTTTTCTTCATTTATTACGGACCTGGCCGAGACCATATTTAATAGCTCATACGCTATTGGCGGGGAATCACCGAACCTTGTATTCCTATTGGTTGAATGAATAGAGCTTTAATCCAGATGCTTGGTACAAATTCTAAAAAAATCCTGCCTTCTTCATGTTTTCGAAACATATCATTGACTAACGACTGATCCGATCATGTCTGGACGTGGCAAAGGAGGAAAGGCACGTGCTAAGGCCAAGAGCCGATCATCCCGTGCAGGGCTTCAGTTCCCTGTCGGCCGTGTGCACCGTTTCCTGCGCAAGGGCAACTATGCCGAGCGTGTCGGTGCCGGCGCCCCAGTCTACCTGGCCGCCGTGCTGGAGTACCTGACTGCTGAGATCCTCGAGTTGGCCGGCAACGCTGCCCGTGACAACAAGAAGACCAGGATCATCCCCCGTCACCTTCAGCTGGCCGTCCGTAACGACGAGGAGTTGAACAAGCTTCTGTCCGGCGTGACCATTGCCCAGGGAGGTGTCCTGCCCAACATCCACGCCGTGCTCCTGCCCAAGAAGACAGCATCTAAGTCAAGTTAAATCGACGGAAAGGCACATAAATTCCGGCCCTTTTCAGGGCCACCCACATCTTCTCAAAAGAGCTTTATCATATGTTCACTCCTTGTCATAACGTTTACCCATACTAATAGCTGATGCGATGCCATTCCACACATATATAAACATTAGAAAGTGGATGATTCAGTCCCAGATTTATGCTGATGCCGGCCGTACGTGATGCAAATGCTTGGTGTCTTCAGTGTTTTAAATGGCCAGATTACATATTCCTATCCCGGAAGCTAGAAAACGCCTCACAATTTCTAAGGGTGTTGTTATAAATGGCTCCCTCCATTTTCACCCCTTCATGAATTCACTACACATATTTCGTAGGTGGCCCGCTGTTGCAAAACCAGACCGTTATTTCCAGTACAGATCTGGTGATGAAGCGAAGCCACTGGATATGATATTGTTTGTACATCCTGACCACAAATTAATTATGGCCATATCAACAATAGTTAACCATCAGACTGATACAGACACGGTTCTTTATGAAGGTGTGGGTGGCCCTGAAAAGGGCCGGGGTTCTCGTATTCAGTCAGGGGGTCTAGCCGCCGAAGCCGTACAGAGTGCGGCCCTGGCGCTTCAGAGCGTAGACAACGTCCATGGCGGTGACAGTCTTGCGCTTGGCGTGCTCGGTGTAGGTGACGGCAGGAAGACCTTGAGGACGCCACGGGTCTCCTCGTAGATGAGACCGGAAATACGCTTGACACCACCACGGCGGGCCAGACGACGGATAGCGGGCTTGTGGATGCCCTGGATGTTATCACGCAACACCTTACGGTGACGCTTGGCGCCTCCCTTACCCAGACCCTTGCCTCCTTTGCCACGTCCAGACATTGTGAGATCTCAGTGACATCTGATAACTGTCTGGGGCTCGTCGGTGCTATTAGTACTGGTGTGATTATGCGGACCTCGTCCATTATTTGTTTATGGTAACATTGGAGATTCTGGTGAACTGTTCAGTATTAAAGAAAATACTAGAATCCTTCAGAATCCTAAAACAATTAATATATGTTATATAGAATCCTATTCAATAATGTCAAAACTTGTTACATTTATTCGAACATTCAGTTTCTGCAAGCCACTATGCCTAATAAAATCAGAGTAAACAAGTCTTACGACATAGTACAGCCGCAGAAAAATTAAACAATACCTTCGGCTCATCTGAAGGACGCCCGCTGTACTGTGAATTACTGGGTCCCGAAAACATGCCCAGCCACTAGTACTATTATGTAATCTCCAAGCAGATCCCTCTCGGTGGCAAAAAGACAGTATCAAATTGGCCAGGCAGTATCCATTAGCCAGAGAAGGTCCGCGGCCACCGTTGGTGGGGGTCAGGACAAAAAAAAACGGCCATATATAAAAATGTAACGATCATTCCCCCACGACCTCTGCTTGGAGAGTACTATTATGGTCAATTCGTTCGAAGTGATAGGGTCATTTTATAGTACAACCTTCACACTCAACTCCGTGGGTCGCAAGTATTAGTTAAAGGATGGGCGGAGCGAGTTTATGTGGATTTGGTACAGCCCCGCCCTCCCAAGGATTTTGTTGGCATCCCGAGGGCGGAGCCCGAGGGGTGCCAACAAAATCCGAGGGGGGTGCGGGGCTGTACCAAATCCACATATACGAGCAATTCGCCCATCCTTTAACTGACTTAGAACATGGCCATTTTTCCGAAGCAGAAAAAATACATTTTACAGAAACATGTTTTGTTTTAAATAAAAAAAACACTCATTTGTTTTCCTAGAAACCTTACCAACAACATTACAGCTTGTAGTACATCCTTTTGTTCCCATTCATGAATTGCAGCTGAGCTACTTTTCGTAGCCTTATGTGAAATATGCATAGCGGTTGCTTTCTTGTCATGCTAGCCCCACAATGCCTTCTGTTTTTTAGTTGAAAAATTCTGGTTTGTCTGTTGAGACAGCAGTCTCTGATCTGATCTGAAAGAAGTTGGTCGTGGCGTCTTTCTGCCAGCCTGTTCTGTTCCCAAGCCGTTCCTGCTCTAACCACTTCCCTCCCTCGCCCAGTGCCTGTCCTGCTGTCCAACCATGTTGGTGTATTCTTTTTTTTAGTTTTACCGTATTTTGTTTTCAAAGTTTAAAAATGTGCGAATCGTGTTAGACATGTTGGGAAGACTTTGCATCGTTTTAATGTATCGCTAAAAGTTTGTAGCTTCCGTGTTTCATTTTTTACAATGTATGAGAAACTCTCGTTTTACTTGACATTTGTAAGAAACCCTCTGATTTTTTTTGCTTCATCCATACTCATTATTCATTCTCTGTTCGTTGTTCACTTTCATTGTCATGAGTGTTTCTTCAAGTTGTTTACCTTTTTGAATAAAGATGTACAGGAAAATCAAATTGCTGTTTTCCTGTGTTGTTAATTTTTTTAATTGATTTTATTTGCATGTGAATGGTGGGCGTCTCCAACTTAGTCAATTTATTCGTTGGTTAGTACATGGGCGTCTCCGACTTAGTCTAATTTATTCGTTGGTTAGTACACCCCTGTCCCTTTGGGGACCACACTATGTGGATTTAGTCACAAGAAATACAGGCTCCTGATTGGCTGAGGTAAGGTGGCCATGTTCTAAATATTGGATCTTCTATGGCCCGGGATCTTCCCTTGTATACTATCCCTTTATTTTGGCCAATTTGTACTATTTTCCCAGCGATCCGCGATGCCTGGTGAAGACTAGGGCTAATCAATCTCCCATCGTGAAATACACACTAGGAAACCTAGATGAGGCGGGCGGGAAAGAGCTCATGTGGCGCCGGGAAAGACGCGCCCCTACCACCATGTGTATACCAGATAATTTTCCTACTTCATAACAAAGCTTAACCTGTGCTGGTTGTGACCCAATGTGCTAGTGGGGCGAATGCCTTCGTTGTCCACAGCACGGCAAATTATGACAAACACATCGACTGATCTAGCGCAACAACTGCTCGATCGTTTGATCGTAATAAATAAGCAGTGTTGCACACTTTCAAGATTATATCTGAGACACGATAGAGGGCTTTTGGGAAGATTTGGTTGGCCCTGAAAAGGGCCGGGGTATACTGGTCGGGCGGTCAGGCAGTTTACTTGGAGCTGGTGTACTTGGTGACGGCCTTGGTGCCCTCGCTGACGGCGTGCTTGGCCAACTCGCCAGGCAGCAGCAGACGCACGGCGGTCTGGATCTCCCGGCTGCTGATGGTGGAGCGCTTGTTGTAGTGAGCCAGGCGGGAAGCCTCAGCGGCGATACGCTCGAAGATATCGTTGACGAAGGAGTTCATGATGCCCATGGCCTTGCTGGAGACACCGGTGTCGGGGTGCACCTGCTTGAGCACCTTGTAGATGTAGACACCGAAGGTCTCCCTCCTCTTTCTCCTCCTCTTGCCCTTGGCTCCAGCGGGCCTGGCCTTACCGGCCTTCTTGGCGGCTTTTCCTCCTCCTTTAGGCGGCATGGTGTTCTCGATCAATGTGCAGAACGAATGGCGTAAGTTGTGTGCACGACCTATTTATAAGAAAGCGCATGCAAATTTTGGATCCTATCCGGTTGTTGCGGACGTGATAGGGAGCATGGCTGCTGCCAGTAATGTCGGCTCCGCAAGCAAATTTGCATACGGTGTTTGATCAAATTGATGATATACGTAAATTCAAACTTTGGTTCGTACGTTGGACGATTCAAAATGTCTACTGACGGATCTGACCTCCGAGCAGATTCTCAGGGGCAAGGCGAGTCTATATTGGCCGCCGGCCCGTAGATGGGCAAAATGTTTGATCGTCCCCTGCATGCCCCCAAGGAGCTTTCATTGTGATGAAAGCTCCTTGATGCCCCCGAACGAATCTGCTGGGAGATTTAGTATACGGACCTACGAGAAGGCGATCATTGCGGTTGCAGGCGGCCGTTAGCACAGGCACCATGTAAATTTATAATCCAGTCGCACTACACAGTATGTTATAATCATGGGTTAAATTATAAAAGTAAGGCCCAAAGAAGGGGGAAATGCATTCGTTTGTGACTTGCTCAGACTGCTGTTTCTGTCCATTTCTTCCCCTCCCCACATTCTACTTGTAGCGCGCAAATAAATAGGTGTTGTGTGTGGCACGTGTTTCTGAATGTAGGTTGTAACATGACGACAACATGGTTCTTTTTGGAAAATGTGGGTGGCCCTGAAAAGGGCCGGGGTTACTTGGGTCAGGCTGGGTGTTTAAGCACGCTCGCCACGGATACGGCGGGCCAGCTGGATGTCCTTGGGCATGATGGTGACACGCTTGGCGTGGATGGCGCACAGGTTGGTGTCCTCGAAGAGACCGACCAGGTAGGCCTCGCTAGCCTCCTGCAGAGCCATGACGGCAGAGCTCTGGAAGCGCAGGTCGGTCTTGAAGTCCTGGGCGATTTCCCTGACCAGGCGCTGGAAGGGCAGCTTGCGGATGAGCAGCTCGGTGGACTTCTGGTAACGACGGATCTCCCTGAGAGCCACGGTGCCGGGCCTGTAACGGTGAGGCTTCTTGACACCTCCGGTGGCCGGGGCGCTCTTGCGAGCGGCCTTGGTGGCCAGCTGCTTCCTGGGAGCCTTACCTCCAGTGGACTTACGAGCGGTCTGCTTAGTACGTGCCATTTTGAGATTTCAAAATTTGGCCACAGGCGTATACTCCAGGTATTTGTACCCTGGCGGTAATCATGACGACACTATAGTAAAGCTTAATGATTGGCTTATATTTTGAAAAGTGAGTTGTCATTGGTCAGATTTTTTAGGTGTTGATTGGTCGAGTGTTGGGACGCCAGGATCCAGCTTTGGCAGGAAGCTCTGTGTAACCAAGCTGTGATTGGTTCGTTATACACAGCCAATGCTAGTAAATTTTAGCTGCAGTACTGACAAAGATCGCTAAAAGCCACTATTATCAGACACTGTAGCTGTAGTTCTTACAGTGGCCGACAAAAGTCACTTCAGTTCGTTGCACTTTTGTCCTTCCACATATACATGTACATGTATTTCGTACATGTAATTACATGTATTTCGTATTTGACATTGATTTTTATTGTCGTCTTCTTGTTTAATAGCCGGTTTTTGCATCGACTAAAAAAGTAATTTGTGGCGAACGTATGGAATACATGAATAAACCATAAATGTATATTTACAGATAACGTTAGTCCAAAGAGATTTATACAAGGAGGTTTAAACCTACTTGACTGATTTCTAGAACTTCCTCATTAATTATGTCAATCATCGCCACGTAATCTAGCTACGTACCGAGCCTGACGTACCACCATCAGAAATGACCTAAACTTTTTTATTTGAATTTTGATACAGCGTTTTGAAGAGTTTTTAACGCGTTCTTTTAATAGCCGGTCATCCTATAACCAGCCGCGAGAGAAGGTTCCATTCCGCCCACGTAGCCTGCTCCCGTTCGGTTCGGCACGAAAAAAAAAAAACAACCTCAGCTGCGTTCACGTGGGTAGTACAAACGTAGCACGATCGCAGTTGCGCCAATGCCAATGTCACCACATGGGAATAGTCTGCGAAGCTATTCTTGTCTGCAAACACATGTTAGCCGCCTAAAAGACGCTTTTGACACGGCCAAAAGAAAGACGACAGTCATGTTGTTTCCACTGATACCAACATTCTCCACTCCATTGTTACCAGATGGTCAACGACTTCCAAAGGATAAATAAACGGTGCTAGAATTAGCCGCGCGCTGACGCTCGGGTCAACGGAATTGCTCTCTTCAGCTGAATAAAGTCCTTGCTTAATTTGGCGCCTGCGCACATACAGGCAAATAAAACGTCCGTATCCCTATTATAATAAAAGATGAACTTGAGAGATATATACTATTCATATATAGCAGAGAGAAAAGTGACCATTGACTACATTCAGTTACTCAGTACTTCTTTGACTACCAATGTCACCACATGGGAATAGTCTGCGAAGCTATTCTTGTCTGCAAACACATGTTAGCCGCCTAAAAGACGCTTTTGACACGGCCAAAAGAAAGACGACAGTCATGTTGTTTCCACTGATACCAACATTCTCCACTCCATTGTTACCAGATGGTCAACGACTTCCAAAGGATAAATAAACGGTGCTAGAATTAGCCGCGCGCTGACGCTCGGGTCAACGGAATTGCTCTCTTCAGCTGAATAAAGTCCTTGCTTAATTTGGCGCCTGCGCACATACAGGCAAATAAAACGTCCGTATCCCTATTATAATAAAAGATGAACTTGAGAGATATATACTATTCATATATAGCAGAGAGAAAAGTGACCATTGACTACATTCAGTTACTCAGTACTTCTTTGACTACCAATGTCACCACATGGGAATAGTCTGCGAAGCTATTCTTGTCTGCAAACACATGTTAGCCGCCTAAAAGACGCTTTCGACACGGCCAAAAGAAAGTCGACAGTCATATTGTTTCCACTGATACCAACATCCATTGTTACCAGATGGTCAACGACTTCCAAAGGATAAATAAACGGTGCTAGAATTAGCCGCACGCTGACGCTCGGGTCAACGGAATTGCTCTCTTCAGCTGAATAAAGTCCTTGCTTTATTTGGCGCCTGCGCACATTCAGGCAAATATAACGTCCGTATCCCTATTATAATAAAAGATGAACTTGAGAGATATATACTATTCATATATAGCAGAGAGAAAAGTGACCATTGACTACATTCAGTTACTAGTACTTCTTTGACAACCTCAGTCCCGGTGTGTCACCGCTGTCTACGTATAGTCTGTACAGTACTGTATTTCACCACGGTACGCACCACAGCGGTCAGACTTCTACGAGCAATCAGAACCAGGTTTTAAAGAAGAGCTTTATAGCTGCAAGAAAATCAACAGCTGTAGTTGAAAAAAAAACGTCCGTCAGCGTCTGCAAAGGAGGCTACTATGAGAAAATAGTGGTTGATTAGCAGAAGGACAAAGGTATGTACATGTACCTGTTTCATATTCTTCTTCTGAGTTATTCGACGCTTCTATGCCTATATGAGTTGATTGTAAGATTTTACATGTAAAACACCTTTTGTCATTAAAAAGTGAAGGAAAAATGAGACATGAAGTGTAAAAACGTCCATGACTCCTCGCTAAGAGCTGTTCTTCGCCACGGCAGTTTTTGTAATTTCTAACCATAGCTGCGTGGGGAAGAAAAGCCCTTCCCGGGTGACGTCGTCAAGACAGCCGGCAGGTAAATTTCCCACATTTGGAGGTATGGCGTCCTGTTCAATTTACAAAAGAATAAAAAAAGACCATCGAAAAAGAGCTTTTTAATCTTCCTAGCGCCACGGGTCGATTGTAAAGTCTACATCTAATCGGCCCTGACGCTTGGAATATTAAAGGGCTCAAAGGCAACGTTAGGAAAGCAATGCTATACTTTAACATTCCATTGAAGTATTTTAGCAACTCTATCTTTTGGATTCAAACCCCTGTCAGGGGCCAATGATATACTCTTCATGCCAATTTCTTCACTCGACTCAGGTAAAAAGGGGTACCTAACTTTGGTTAGGGGCGTCCTCTCGGGTAGGACGGTCCCGTGCTTGAGAGCCACAACTCATTTATCGGTATTAAAAGAGTAAAGATCGTTCCGGATCCCGCCGATGCATGTTGAGGCTTCATCAGGCTTCAGAAGCGGTGAAAAGAGTAGACAGATTTATGCCAGGGGAGTTGGTCCGACACTGAAGGGGCACAGTTTGTCGTACCGCAAACTGTGATCCGCAAATTGGCTCCGAGTTTTAGCGGACCGGCAACTCATGTTATCTGTCTATTTCGCAAAAAAAATCTACTCTTTCCAGCTGCCATATAGCTAGTGAAGCCCGCTGGTAGAGACCAAGGTGTGAGTGGATCAAACCTCAGCAATCCTTCAATAACTGGCGCGTTTTTAGTTACTGGGTCATTAGGTGGTTATTAATCTCCAATCAGATTCACCCATGTACACACATATATGTCTTACGCCAGCTTTGTAGCATGTATGTCTAAAGATTCTTTGACGTTTGAAATTGAAGTCGTGATCGACTCCACACAAGAGCGGTCAATTACTTATTTCTTATTTCGTGTGTGAATGTCTTCACATTAAGAAAACAAAGATCATAGTCCCAGTTTACTAGTGGTTATGTCCTGCAGTGAAAACTACAGTTGAAATTTATATTAAGCACCATATTAAATCAAATATCAAATCAATAAACAAAACAAAGCTCAACAAGAAAGGCGTGATTCGTGTATCTAAACTTGTTTTAGATGAAGTTCAATCAATAATTTTTGTTATTACATTTTACATTTTGTAATGATATTAATTAATAATGTTAAACTCTTAGCGTCAATAATGTTAAATTTTACATGGGTCAGTTCGCGATTTACGTGAAAAGAACATGCAATCAGCATTCTTTTTTGTTTTGCCGCTTGCATTGTGAAGTCTGGTCTAAATATCAGTGTAGATTCTACCTTATTCACTTTTTTATTTGAATGAACTACTAATGTAAAGCCAACAGTTCCTCAGCACTTCCTCTGCATCCTGCCAACATCCTGACGAACGGAACGGAGAATGCCGTAGTTGTAAATGAGTAGCAATGACTGCTGCATCCCCCGTTGCGTTTGTCAGGATGACTTCTTCCTCACGACAACCGTCACGTTAGAAAACGTGACATCTCGCGGACCAGCCAGCCTACCCCGGCACACTACGCTGTATAGTTATCCTCTCCTCGCCGTTGTACCTGGCGGCTTGGACTTTGTTCGGCAACGACTGCTTATAAGGAAGTTGAGAAAGACACCGGTAAGTGATTGTCAAGTCATTGATTTTATTATAAGTCTTGACAGTTGAAACATTAATAATAATATTGACCAAAATTAAAAGATACTAGTATAAACCGCGTAAGAAACTACTGTTAATGTTGTTAACCTGATGAGTCTTCTAGCATGTCTAGACTGTTTTATAATGCGCTTCCTTTTTCTTATGGTATAATTAACGTTATCACTCCTCTTGAATTCGGGATAGCTGGGGCTGTAAGAAAGAAATGCAGTCATAGAGCCTGAAAAGGGGGCTAGCGTTTTAGACATTTACTACATGTCTAAAATCAGTACAGCTTACTCGTCAGAAAAATTGTCATATCTTCTTTAAGCTCTCTTAAAACACTTTTCACTCGAGTCGAAACTTCATAAAGTTTTCACATATATATATATATATATATATATATATATAATTTCTTGGCCCAACATAGTTACCGACTGGCACACTGCTTACCCATGGAAACAGGCGGATGTCAAACTGGTTACGTATCACGCCAATATCGTTACACGAAACAGTTACTGCCCTGCGGGCCTGCACCGGACACACCACCTGTAAAAATCCCCCAGGGCCCAACGGCACCGTGAGAACATCGAACAGGTATTCAAAAGACAGGATGACTTGCGTGATCAGTCGAGTTACAAACAGCCAAGGACAGCGAAGGACCTTAAATCTAAAGGTCAATGTGTTTTCGAAAAACAAACTCATGGAGGGAATTCAAAACTTCTTAAAGTGTTTTCCAGATATTTGTAACGGCTGCCAATGCTACGATTCTAGATACTAGCAGTCTGACCAGAGCCCCCCTACTGAACAGGAACAT